AAGATTTGCATGTTTGAGCCAATATCGTGATTTTGCCATGTGTAGAAATTGTCTTCGAGGCATTAACGTGGTGCAGGTCAAAGGCTCTTTGCCTCACTTGCACCAGGTGTGAGATAGGTAGAATCTGGCGTGAGTTAGTTAAGAGCTTTATGACTTGGTTATGTTGGATGTGGAATAAGAGATGTGGAATGTGATTGCTTGAGGAACTCTTTGACTTACTGATGTTGAATGTGATCAAGCCAATGGCTTTTTGCCTGCATGACACAAAGCACGAGTTTTGTAGCACGTTGACATGGATAAGGCAGGGGCTCTCTACATGAATGACATCCGGTGTAAGATTAGTAATGCTAAGAGTTGGGTAAACAAAGACTCCTTGTCTCATATATATTGGGGTCAAGTGGTTTGGCACCAAGAATGGGTGTGCTAGAGGCTCTTTGTCTCAATGACATTAGGCACTGGTGAATGTCATCGGGCATGGTTATATTGAAGGAAAACTTATGATTTTAGTTGTTTAAATGATGAAAACTTTTTGAGTATATTAGTTGTTTACATGATGCATGATGACAATTTTATCTAGTTCATTATGTATTGATCTATGATGATGTTTTACATTGATAAACTTGAAAGTTGTTTATAGTCTTAAGTTGATTAAGTTGAAAGTTCTTATTATCTGAAGTTGTATGAAGTAAAGTTGCATGATGATAAGTTGTATAGAAATCACTACTACAAGATGCATATTCTACATCGGTTCTGCAAAGTCATCTACATTGGTTCTAAAACCGATGTAGAATAGAGCGACTTAGAAAATGTATACATTTCTACATCGGTTTTCCTTAGAATCGATGTAGATTGCCTTTACAACATTGTTCTTCCACCTGCCCAACATCGTTTCGATTTCTGCTCGTTTCCATTTCTGCTGATAGATTTGGAACAAAAAGGAGTTATATTAAATTCAAAACGCACAAAACATTAATCAGAGATCCAAGAACACTAACTCAAAAACATTTTCACAAAATCAAACAGACACAAACACCAACATCAACTAGAACTTAAGCTCACTACGGTTATGGTTGCCGAGAACCCAAACACACCAAACCCTAAACCCCAAAATTGTGAAGTAAAATGGAAAAGGTGAAGTCTTTGCAACAGAAAAACAAAATCTCCAAGCTTCCGCTCCAAGCTTGCTTCTAGAGGTGCTCCACCAGCTCCTGCACTTTTGCACTATCGCAGGTGCTGCAGTAGGTCCAGTCGTTGGGCCGTGAAGATCTCTGTGGTGTACACGCGCTGCCGGTACTGCCACCTTGGGTTTGCAGGGGCCCATGCCAGGGTGTCGCCCACGTTGGGCTGGGCCGCCACGGATTCCGGGATAGGCCACCTCGCGAAGGCTTGGTCATTCTTTTGGAGGATCTCTTGGGCCGTCCCCGGGGAGGAGGCCACCACCGTGGTGACGAAGTCTCTGCGCTTCTTCGCTACCTGATCCTTGGAAGGAGGGGAAGTGCCGAAGCCTTGTTGCGGTGGGCCACGCCGTTCGCCGAGGCCCGAGTTGCTGGCAGGAAGAAGGCGGCATTGGCTTGGCTTCCGGCGGAGGTGGGAGGAACTAGGGTTTTGAGAGAGAACGTTTTTGTGAGAGTGAGAGAGCGTGTGCTTATATTTTTGGATTTGAATTCTACATCGGTTATTGTCAAAACCAATGTAAACATGCTTACATTTTCAATTTAATTACGCAAATGCCACCGCGTTCTTCTTTTACATCGATTTTACTTAAATCGATGTAGATGTGACAATGTTAAATAGTATTTTTGTAGTAGTGAATGTAATGCATGTGTTAAGTTAAGTTGAATAAAAACTAGAGGATATGAAAATTGTTTTAGAAAAGAAAATCCCATTGTTCGAATATAAGTTGTGATGCTCCGAGAGCCCAAAGTTGAACCCTTCAATGAGTAAGTTGCCTCCTGAATGGGAAGTTGTTTTAAGTTGTCTCCTCTAGGCTTTTCAGTTGAGACAATATGATGGAGGCTAAACCATACTTGCCATAAATGGTCATTAAGTAAGGTACAAGATTGGAGGTGAGGATCTATAACTAAGCAATGGAAAGGTGCGCAATATTTGGAGGGTAGTCAGCGAACTAATTCCATATAAGCTTAGTTATGCATGCTAAGACCATGGTAGACTCACGTTTAAGTTGTTCTTGTAACGTAGCAAGTTGTTTTAAAAAGTCCAATATAGGTAATTTAGTAGCCCAGAACGGGTCGTTCCCAATCTGGAACGGGCCGTTCCAAGCTATTAAATTGACCTGTAAATCGTAGTTAAGAACGGGACGTTCTGAAGGGAGAACGGGTCATTCTAGTTGGAGAACGGGCCATTTTGGATGGAGAACGGGCCATTCTGGAGGGGAGTACGGGCCTTTCTGGATGGAGAACGGGCCGTTCTGGATGAGTTCCAGAACGAGCCGTTCTAATTTCAGAACGGGTCATTCTGCATGTGGTTTTTGCACATGACAAAGTAGTACAAAATGGGCCGTTCCGGATTCGGTACAGGCCATTCTGGCCACTCTGGAATGCCTATAAATAGGGGTTGTGGGCAATGAGAAGAATGTGAGTTTTTAGAGAGAAGTTTTAGAGAGAAGGTCTCTGGGTCTGTGAGCTCCTTTCTCTCTCAAATTTCTCTGTATGATTCCTTTTCTTCTCTAGACCACTAATGCCTTCTGTCTTTTCTTGAAATTCATATTAGAAAGATTGCTTTGGGTAGATTGAAGTTCCAGATTGAGCTACGAAGGAAAATTCTACTTCTTGTCAGTTTTTGGCTATCTGAGCCAATCTTCAGGTGAGGGAAGCTATAATGTTTGTTGTTTAGGTTGCATGTGAGTTTAGAAACTGAATAGGTGTATGAATGTTGAGAATCCATAGATGGATTGAAGAAAATCTCATTTTTGGGGTTTTGAGAAAAAGGAGGATTTTGATGATTTTTGATGCATAAGTAATTGGATGCATGTGAGATCTAAGTTTATTTAAGTTGTATGGAGCCTATGCATTGTGTTTGCATGTGGCTAGATTTGTTGGTTTGGATGAGGGGTTTTGAACTCTCTGATTGGGATTTAGGCCAGGTGCAGGTTGAGCGTGCCGGGCGTGGAAGAGCTTAGAGCTCTCGAGTTGGTGTTAAGACAGGCGCGAGCTGACTGCGCCGAGCGTGAATATGTTCATAAATAATTGATTTAAATTGATGCTTATGCATGTTTAAAGTCAAAGTTTTAGATCATGTATGTATGATATATGATGTATAGTGAGGTATGATTCATATATATGCTTTGTGATGATATGTATGAATGTTTGAATATGATATGAGTATGTTTATTGATCATAATGGTGGGTAGACCATTTATGATGTATGATGCATTATGACATGTGATGTCTTATGACATGTGTATGATTGTTGATCATGATGGTGGGTAGACCATGTATGATGTATGATGCATGATTGCATGTGATGCCTTATGGCATGAGTCTAGCCTAGGACTTGAGGAGAGGAAAAATATTTTCGAATTGGAAGAGCTCACATAGAGTCTCTTGAGAGTGGTACTTGGATAGGCCACTGATATATGAGAGTGGTGCTCAGGGAGGCCACTGGATTTGGGAGAGTGGTGCTTAGATAGGCTACTGGGTTGGGTGAGTCTGCTCTAAGTCCTTAGCTAGTGTTGGAGCGGGGTATGAGGTCGAGGGTTATTCCCTTAACCAAGTACTCGGGAAGGTGCGTGGATCCTTGTGGATAGTCGGTGGGCGAACTCCACAATTGACTTGGTTATGCATGCCAAGGTCGTGGTAAGCCCGTACCCAGCTGTGCTATACCTGACGGTGGATCTGGACTTCTAATTGTGTAAGTGACATCATCTGAGTAAACCCGAGTGAGGATTATATCCTGTTTAGCTGTGACCAAGCGGGCGCATTGGGCGTGAAAACGGTTGGGGTGGTTTCAGTAGGATGGAATGTCACTTATACAGCTCGTTATGGAGATCTCCTAGGTGTATGCGTGACGACGCATTAGATGATTGATATGCATTGATATCTGTCATGAGTTGCATGTATTGCATGATTGTCATGATGATGAAGTGTATGGTGTTTGACTTCATGGTTGATGAATGGATGATTGATTGGGATGCATGTGTAGTATAAATTTTATTCTGTACTTGTATGATTGATTTTTGAACTCTAGCTTACCCTTTTGTTTCCATGTGGTGAGACTGCAATGATCATATACTTGTTAAGGGAGCAAGTCAGGGATAGCTTGGAGTAGAGATGATCACTGCGAGATGGGGAGTTTGAGTCTCGTGTTAGAGTTACCATTTTGGGTAACAGTTTTATCTGTGCTTGACCAGCACTAAGGAATATTTTGGGATGACTATACATATATGGTGTTTTATTTTTGTATACAGAAACTTAATTATTTTGATCCTTATATCTATGCCTGTATGATATGTGTTATCCAGTTTTATATTCTCTTAGTTAACTAGTTGTAGTGCCATTCCACTAAGTGTAGAGACCATGGCGGGTCGTTACACTTTTATGGTATCAGAGCCAGTCGAGTCTTTTGGGATACTCTGTGGGGAGTGATCCTTCTAGTTTTCTCTTGTGTCTTATCTCTGATATGTGTTGGTTTTTAGTGATTTGTTGTGGTATTACGTTACTAAAGAAAGATGTTTGAATTCTTGTAGTATGGTGAGGCCTCAGTATGACCAGATTGTTAGGGTCATGAAGATGATGGCCATGGCGATGCAGCAGCAGAGTGCTCACTTTGCTCAGATGGAGGCAGATAGAGCTGCGATTGAGGCAGCTAGACCAGTGGTCTCTTAAGATGGGAGAGATTTAGCAGAGTTTAGGGGATGTCAGCCTCCTCAGTTCAAGTGGGATTCAAATCCTGATGTGGCAGATCAGTGGTTGAGTGAGATGGAGAAGATCTTCAGTGTTTTGGGATCTTCTGAGGAGAGGAAGTTGGCTTATGCAATTTACATGCTGGGGGGCGAGGCTGAGTACTGGTGGAGAGGCACCAGGCAGATGTTAGAGAGTAGGGGTGTACTTGTTGATTGGGATTGCTTCCGGAGGGTCTTTTTGGAGAAGTATTTCCCGGACAGCGTTAGATACGCTAAGGAGGCGAAGTTCATAAGACTACATCAGGGGAGCTTGTCTGTTTCTGAGTATGCTATGAGGTTTGAGCATCTAGCTCGTTTCTACTCTCAGGCCATATTTGAGACTTGGAGATGTAGGAAGTTTGTAGAGGGATTGAGGCATGAGCTGAAGAGGGTCATAGTCCCTATGTCCATAGTGGAGTTTCCTGCCTTGGTTGAGAAGATAAAGACTGTTGAGAGATTGGAGGGTGGTGGTAGCACCGGTAAGACTGCTAGAGTTCAGGAGGGATCATCTGGGTCCAGGAGGGGAGGGCAGCAGAGGGGACCCTATGACAGACCTGTACAGTCTCAAAGAGGAGCTGTTAGTAGGGGACCTCATCCTACTACTCCTCAGGATGGAGCACAGTCGGTGCGGTGCTACAGATGTGGAGGAGCACATGTGGTTAGAGATTGTTCCCATCCGGGGAACGTTTGCTTCAGATGTGGTAGGCCAGGCCACATCTATAGAGATTGTCAGACACCGTCGACTTCATCTGGGAGTGCCCCGAGGCCACCCATACCTACAACTGCGGGGAGAGTGTTTGCATTGTTAGGTGCAGAGGCTTCCACTTCATAAGACTTGGTGAAGGGGAAGGGGAAGGTAGGAGGTGAGGATGTTTTATTTTTGTTCGACTCTGGTGCCACGCATTCTTTCATTTTTATTGATTGTGTGGAGAGATTGAGTTTGTCAGTATCTTCATTGCATGTTGATTTGTTTGTGTCTACTCTGGCTTTAGTTTCTGTGGTGACGTCGGAGATGTGTGTGAGATGCCCGATAGAGGTGTTTGGTAAGAGGTTCCGAGTGAACCTATCGACATAATCTTAGGGATGGATTGGTTATCTATCCATCACATCCTTATAGATTGTGCTCGAAGAGAGTTGGTAGTTTCTCAGTTGGAGGATGAGGTGTTGGTATCAGCGAGTCAGGCTGAGCAGTTGATGAGGGATGGGGCTGAGTGTTTCATGTTGTTTGCTGCTTTGAGTGTTGAGACAGAGAGGGCCATCACTGGGATTGAGATTGTTAGTGAGTTTCCTGAGGTGTTCCCAGATGATGTGCCGGGATTGCTACCTATGCGTGATGTTGAGTTTAGCATTGATCTAGTACCCGGTGTAGGACCAGTATCAGTGGCTCCTTATAGGATGGCTCCAGATGAGTTGGTAGAGCTGAAGAAATAGATTGAGGATTTGTTGGAGAAATAGATGGTGAGGCCCAGTGTTTCTCCTTGGGGTGCCCTAATACTGTTAGTGAAGAAGAATGATGGTGGGGCCCGTTGGTGTGTTGATTATCGGTAATTGAATAAGTTAACGATAAAGAATAAGCATCCACTTCCGAGAATTGATGATTTGATGGATCAACTGAGGGGAGCTTCAGTGTTTTCAAAGATTGATTTGAGATCCGGATACCATCAAATCAGGGTAAAGGAAAGTGACATACCAAAGACTTCTTTCAAGACTAGGTATGGTCACTATGAGTATGTGGTGATGCCTTTTGGTGTCACTAATGCTCCAGCAGTGTTCATGGATTACATGAACAGGATTTTTAGACCGTTATTGGACAGATTTGTGGTGGTCTTCATTGATGATCGCTGCGAGACGGAGAGTTTGAGTCTCGTGTTAGAGTTACCATTTTGGGCAACAATTTTGTCTGTGCTTGACCGACACTAAGGAATATTTTGGGATGACTGTACATATATGGTGTTTTATTTTTGTATATAAAAACTTAATTATTTTGATCCTTATATCTATGCCTGTATGATATGTGTTATCCAATTTTATATTCTCTTAGTTAACTAGTTGTAGTGCGATTCTACTAATAGTGTAGAGACCATGGCGGGTCGTTACAGTTCTATCCTTGACAAATAGTACTAGACTTTACTAGTTTAAGTAGTGAAACTTGAGAAAGCAAGATAAGTTGTTAAACAGGTGCTTAGAAAGGCTTGAAGTTGTTTATACTTGACCTAGAGAAGACATGTCAAATGTTGTGGTTCGATAGGGTCAAGCCACTTAGATTCCTCACCACATTTGTAGGAGATTTTCATAAGTTGATATGCATGACAACACATTAATTATGATAAAGTTCATTTTGAGAATGTTATACATGTTGTAAGTTGTGATTGATGTTGAAGTTAGTGTTATGTTTTAAGTTGGAAACAAACCTACTACTTTAAGTTGATTTTTAATTGTTGAAGTTGTTACTTCCTTATTCGGTTATTATATTTGTTTGTCAAGTGACATCAATTGTCATGTGGTGGAGACTTTCGTGGGTCAAGTCATAGTCAAGACACATGGCACTTGGATAGCTACAATTAAGTAGAAAGAGTTGCACCCTAACTAGCTATTAGTTATAGCTTTTACCCTAATGGTAAGCACTCGATCCAACAATTGGTATCAGAGTCAAGGTCACGTATTCGATTACCAATAGGAGAAATTGTTATGGAGGAGATTATTTGTCAGGTGACATCAATTGTCTCGTGATAGAGGTTTAGGTGGGTCAAGTCACAGTCAAAACACGTGGTGTTTGGGTTGTTACGATTAATTAAAAAGAGTTGTGTCCTAACTATTAGCTATAGATATTGGCCTAGTGGTAAGCACTTGATTCAACAATATTGTTTTCTTTCACATGCTTACCCTTACTTTTTCCATATTGTTGGACCACAAATGATTATACTTGGTATATGAGCAAATCAGGATTTGGTGGTAGACTTGTCGGGAGATTTGTCATGCATATAGGAGATAACCTTGTTTTGTACTATTCTAATGCAATATCTCGTACAAAGATGCTTGATTGGAAATAAAGTTTTATGCTTTTAGTATTTGGTATCTTGATGCATATTGTATATATGTACATGGTTTTTATGTAATCCTATAAAAAGTTTTATGTTTTCAAGTCATATAGGCAAGAATTGTTTTATATCTTCTACACCTCATACATTTATTTGTTACATGAATGACTAGTATTGTTTCTTGAGAACCCTGGAGTAGTTGAAATACTTTACTTAAGTGTTTGCAATGGTTGATTTATAATGGTTGCAACAATAAAATAAAATAATTCTTTTTATTCATAGACTTCAAAGTTTAAATTTTTTGCAACTTTTAGTAGTAACTAGACTTCCTCTCAATGAAAAAATAAATAAAAAATAATTGCTTTAAGATAAGGAACCTATAAATAACTAGAGTTAAAAATGTTCTAAAGCATATGAGTTATGCTATATACGTTATGCAACATATTCTAAAATAAGGAAGAGAATGTAATATTAATATTTATTAATAAAAAAAATTTTTATTTTAAAATAAAATATATTAATATTTCATAAAATTTAGAACGTATAATAAAATATCTTGAAATTTGTTTTGTATGTAGCTCGGGAAATTAATATATATATATATATATATATATATATATAT